CGACCGGAAATTATACTTCTCCTTCCTTTTTCTTTCACGCATATTGCGATTCAAATCGAGACGAAGATCATGTGAGTAGAGCTTCCATTTTTCTACCCTGCAGCCAACCGAATTATCCATGTCTGGTGGGGGAGAAAGAGAGAAAATGCCCCTCCCCCCCCCCCTGCAAGGTTATTCTTCCGATTATCGCCAATTTCGACAGAGAGGAGGGGGGGAAAACACATAGATGAAGTGTCCCTTGTCTTGCATCAACAACCTTGGTCTGATAATAACCGGTATCAAGCGGTGTGTCTCTTGGCTGCATTCTGTTCAATTCACCTGCTGCAGAGTGAGGCTTTGACATCTCGCCTCGAATCCTCCCCTCGGGTACTCGTCCCTGACATCCCGTGAGTGACTCGGTAGAACTGCAAGCCCTACATGGGTATTGTTCTCACAGCCCCATCATTTGCGTCTGCACCGCCGGTAAGCTGTCCGGCGGTGATCGTCGAGGATTTTCGATGGCCCATTGCGATTTGGGCCAACATTGCTTTATGTAGCCTATACCGATATTCAGATTTCCGCGGTTGTTGTTGTTGCCCAAACCCAAGATCTTGACAAAAAGACGGTGAAGCGCGTTACAAGTCAAGAAACGCCGTACAGCTGGAATTTATGCTTGTCGACCGCCGACTTATCCGTGATGATGTGAGAACGCCATACCCTCGTAGAACAGATTTCGCTAGATCTACCCAGATCTAGCTGAACCCTGCTTGGTCACAGCTCTTGCGGCATGATACGGTTCGACCCCCAAACTGTACATACTATCATGTCGGGCTCGATTCATGCTTAATTTCACATGAGATCATATTCCAGCTGTTAACTACATTCCGTATGGATGCCCTTTGGGATTTCCTTTCATTCCAAAGTGAGCAAGATATTGCATCATATCGGAATAATACACGTCAACACTTTCCAATCAAGACTAATAACAAAAGGGGGGGGGGGGGGCTGGTTCGGCTTCCATGGCACACACTGTCTCCGCCTATCGTGCAGCCACGACGCCCAGATCTTCAACTCCCGCTCCAAAGCCCGCCGCAGCACTGATGATGCCCGAAGGTGGGCTTTTCGGCTCACAGATCCGACTCCCACGAACCTGTTCTATGTACGGAGTTATCTTGGCAAGATATGATGATCCTAAGCATACAGCCGCGTTGGGCGTTCAGATCGATCGATCGTGATAATTGTTTTTTTTTATCGACAAGGCTAAACAACCCCAATACAGACACAACCAGGGTCCATGATCCACATAGAACCGCAGCTCCCGCGCCATATTGTCGGGTTCTGACAGTCGCATGGTTCCCGAATGGCTGAAGCGTGGCGCTGATTGCCCCCTCTAAAAATCAAATAAAAACAATTTCAGTCGGACGGAAAATGATTCCTGACATATAAGAAATCTTTTCTTTGGACCTATCCAAGTTCCAAATTGGGCAGAGGAACTCGGGCAAAATTGCCTCAATGACTGAGGTACTTAGACTTTTTTTTTTGGTGCAGCCCCCCTTTCTGTATCGTGATGGTTGACGGGGAAAAAAAAATTCAGTTGTGATGTATCAACTTTTATTCCCGTGGGCGAATTCCGTCACTCAAAATCTAGATCTTCTATGACATCGAAATCAATCTAGGAACAAGGAAAAATGAGAAGCACACGCACTAAAGTGGGGGGGGGGGGGGGGGGCGAGAACAAGGGTTCAAAGGAATATGTTGTATACCCCCTCTTGATGTTGTACAAAAGAGGACGCTGCTCAGATTAGTACAAAGTACATCAATGTAGGTGATGTACATTGCAGATCACTCTGATTCCATTGTTTTCAAGTCCATTGCAATCGCGATCCAATTCGAATCGGGTAAATGCAGGTATTTTTCCCCCTAATTATGGTCAAAATCAGGCTCCATTTCTTACTATCCCAACAAAGCGCCACAGGTCAGCTGTTCTTGATCCTTTACGTATACAGAATACAGAGTATTCATGTCCGACGGAATATCATACAAAGATTCACTGTATACGGAGTAGTCTCCCCGGTCTAGAGAGGGTTTGAAGTTAATTGCTATGCCGAGAATCAATATCCAATTCCTCCCGTTGGATTCTAGAACCTTGCGCGAAATGTCGGGACCCGTTACACACCGTTTTTGGTTGTCTGTTTTTGGAGATCGCTGATCATCAATTCGTACCCATGTCGGACTTTTGTTATACTTGATTCTTTTGGACACTAGTTTAGTAGGGAACTTAGAATACATCGTATGTCCGTAGCCGAATCCTCAATCTTATTGTTTGAACTGATCGTCCGTTGATATTGCCAAAGCGCCACCTTTATCATTACCAATCTAGGGCTTATGGCTTTTTTATATTAAATCCCGGAGGATTGGAGAAGATTAAGATTTCTAAACGCTGCATAGAGTGAGTGACAGGTGTACTTTTGTAAAACCAGCGAAGCCTATCCAAAAGAAACTACTGATGCATACTAATATGCATAGTACTCTCTGTATGGAGCACAAAATTTGACAGTCACGATCCTGATTTCTGGGAGAAGTTACGACTATGAAATAAAGGAGAATCCTGGCGTTGGTCCGGCAGCTGAACGGGATATCCGCGGACCAATAAAAGCTTTAAATGATCCAAAACACTATTCCAGTTCCACGGTACGATGTTAAGGATATAATATGGAGTACATTAGTTCCGATGGCTTAATCTTAGGTAAGGAATTGGTATTACAATACCTTCCAAGGTTACCGATCTCTTCTATTTACGATCGCCCCCACCCTGTGGCGAGCGGAAAGCAGGGATCCGGTGCCGCGGTGACGGGTATAAATACAAAAGTTCCGCGAGTGGACACGAATCATATCGAGTCATATCGAATCATATCTCTTTCGCAAGGATTTTCAGACTATTGATTTTACTTATGATCATGTGAGCAATTCCTTTCTCATTTTCTTTCTCCCTTTTCTTATTTTTTTGAAAATTATTTTTCCATTTTATGCCCCGCAAGGTACGGGGGATCTGAATCCCGGGACTTTTGGTCTGGACCTGTACAATTGTTCCCGTACTTTGTCGCCTTACTTTACATATGTACGGAGTACTCCGTGCTCTGGGATGTGATCGAGATTCCCCTGCAGCGGTCTGGACGCCCCAGTCACATGTAGTCTTACGTCTTACATGATGCAGTAGTATGAGCCCAACAAAAATCCATTTGAACCTCAATGATATCATTCAAATATTTCAAAAGATCAGTTGCCTCGTGTGGTGTGTTGCTTAAGCGCTTGCTATTTCCTATAATCTGTATTCTACTTGGCATTTGGATATTATACCCAGTTTAACCTCGCACCTTCAACATATTGATATAATTGAAAGCTAATCTACAATAATTAACATCTTTTACCTCCTCCTTGCCTGTAATTTTTACTTCAATTGATCCTCCTACATAAAGCTCAGAGCCAAGGCTATTTATTGAATCTAGTCTAGACTTTGAAGCAATACCGCCTTTTGGTGTAAACTCCATACCGTTATCGCTCAAATAGCCGGTGTACAGATGAGTTGACCGCTCGTGCAACCTCTATCCTTGACAACAAGCTAGGCTTTGATCATTCAAATGTTCAATTGGGTCAATAGACATGGCGTGACTTCGGTGTGACTTCAAACAGACGTTATATGCATAACTGGCCGAGGCCAACCGCAACAACGATATGCAGAGGGCGGTTAACCTATAACCTCCAGTCCATTGAGCAAGTTCTCCATATATAACCGGTGATATGTACATGTTATCATTCAAATATGCAGGGTACTGAAAGTCAATTCCATCAACGATCATCCAATACAATATTCATCTCAAGCCTCAGTCCCAAAAGGCAACCTGTATGCATGAACACCTACCCAACACTCGGACTCGGTACTGCGCGTAAAGTTTCCTGAATTGCGGACGAACTCCTGAAAGGCAGCCACTGATCATCTCCCGATGGAGTGCAGATACGAAGCACTCTGTGTAAAGCCCGCATGGATTCCCAGAGCTGAACCTCAAAGCAAAAGTACAATTGACCTCCCCCGTATGGTACTTTTGCTTGCCGCCGCCAGAAAGCCAAGATGTGACCATGATCGCCCTTCCTGACATGTACGCGCTAAATGTGACAGCGGCTCACAGACTCCTGCCTGTGATGGACTTGACATTCGAGCTAGGCCTGGCAGACCAATTAACATCGATATCCCGTCCGTGATGATACATCCACTACACGGGGTACTCCGTATGTGCATATCATTAGTTGATACTGCGAAAGACGTAATCTTATCCGATTGCATGGAGCTAGCTTCAATTCCAAATCATATGTCATGTACGGAGTAAGCTCGTCTGCCTATCATTGCCAATGGCTCTATCTACGTATGTTGTACCCCGTACTCGATATTACCTGCCAATCTTGAGTACTACTGACATGAAGATATGCAGGTCAATGTATTTCGCCGACCTACCCGCCGACACTTTGCCTATCTGCATGGTTTCTTCCGCATGTATAAAGCCATTGTGGATTTGGGCATGTCAATTTGGGACTTGTAATTATGTCACCTGCCATAGATTAAGGCAACGGTAATCTGCAGGTGGATAGATACATTTACGGGGTAATGTCCCAGAATAGTATCCCGAGGATCATCCTAACTTGGTTTATATAACTAATACTTCGGTTAGATTTACCGATTCAAGATCAAAGTAATATTCCCAATAAGAGATACATTGAGGGATCAAGATATAACAGAGGAAGAAAGCTCGCGTATTTGATAACAACGGAGATATAACAGCAAAACTCTCATTTCTCGGCTATTGTTGCATACTGATCTGGTATAGAGCTATCAAAATATCACCAGATAGTTAGAGCAATGTAAAGCACGTTTGGTAGCCCTAAAACAAAGCTAGAAGTGGTTTGCTGGAGCAACCACCAAATCCGTATAGAACACATACTGCAAAGACTGAAATAAAAGACCAAAGTATTCAACTAGTGGCTTCATCTTCTGAGACAAGGACATAATCAGAAGCATCTGTACTTGTGTTGACTCCGACGGAACGATACTGTTTCTCCTCGGGTTCTTCCACTTGTGGCTGTTGCACACATTTCTCGGGTTGTTGCGAAAGATTTTGTGAAACAAGGGCCAGCTGTCGTGAAGTTGTAGCTTGCGCTTCAAGCAAGTGTTTTATAAGCTCTTGCTGTGCGTTTATTTGTTGGTCGGAAATCTCTAGTAGTCTTTCATGCATGCCGAGCCTCTTTCTCAAATCAGTGTGTTGTTGAAGGGAATATAGCATGCTGTCTCGCATGCTGAGCTGCTCTTGCAAGCTCTGAATCCATGGTTGAGCTGTATTCCCCTGGAGTTCAGATCTCTTCAGTCTTTCATTTTGTCTGCGGACTAACTCTTTCAAATATTTGATCCTATCCTTAATTTCGTCATCTCGTTTATGATCTCTCTCCGATGGTTCCTTATCCATGCTAGGCTGGCGTTCCGAGTTGGCTATGCGTTTCTCAAGCACATTCAACCCCTGCGCAATCACGGGATTGCCAATCTTTTGCGTAGTACCTGCAAGCCACTCTTCAACGCTCGGTTTTTGCTCCGTGGTATACATGCTGCTCACGACTGTATCGCGCTTTCTCTTGTGTGTTGGCATCGAGTTTGGGCTGGATGTGGAGGATTGCTCGTTGATTGATAGAGACATCATAAAAGGTAGTCAGAGGAATATATGAGAAAGGGGAAAGATGTTAGTTACTGAGACAAGCTGTCATCTTAGAATGTTCAAATTGATGATCAGCTCCTGAGTAATGGTCATACTAGTGATCCATGGATGCACATTGATGATTCCCCCGGTTCTTCACCGACTTCCGCAGCTCTTTTTGACATTTCCATTTCCATTTATGGCTTAGCACTACTAGTACCCTACTAGTAGCATTTCAGACCGAAAAGGGGATGTGCAAGATCTCGGGTCGAAAAAGCAAACAATCAATACAGTATTAAAACAAAACAAAGGCAGCACACCGTTTTTCCAGCTCCTTTGCTGCGTGTCAGCGACTCAACGGCACACTAGTGAAAGCTAGACAAAGAGTCGAGTCACAACTAGACCAGACTTAAATGAGTTAATCCACTCAAGTAGAGTCCGTATATGTTCATTGGTCACTTTGTCACGGGATCGGGAAGTCACATCGGAGACGTGCAGATGCAACAAGGGTAGCTGTTGTGGCCCTATAGATCATATGTGTAATCCCAACGGTTCTTCACAATATTCGATATCTCAATGCAGGGATTTGATGAGGCGGTGACAGGCAAACGGTAAGATGCAGACTCGGGCATTGCCTCGATCAGCTCGTTTTTCCTTGGCGAATTCATTTAATCTCAAGTCAGGTTTGTGCTGCATGATACTTGCATAGCCCAATTTTGGATACATAAAAGTGGAACACGGGGTTAGATTAGGAAAAAGGAGAGGCAAAATGGACATTGAGAAGGGATATACTATGGGCAAATATTCTGCACTCAGTAGGGACACTATAAAGGGCTTATCACCATGTGATCTTATCGGGACATTCAGAAATCCATTGAAGGTCATAACTCAGTCTGTCGACAATTTACTGAATAACCGGTATATTTGCGTCCTATGAAGGTACAATCTTGACCGGACTATTTCAAAGGCGAAACAGCTGCATTCGGAGAATGAGCGAGAGATAGCTAGCAATCACCCATCATGGCGCATCCACGAGCCTATTTTTCCCTTCCCGTACGACCATTCCTTCCAAGACGAGCCCGTTGCGGCCGATTATTCCTACAAAATCTCCAAAAACCATGCATCTCACGGAACCGATTTCAAAGCACTATTGCCGACCCTGAAACACCACCTCAACCCAGCAAAGATGCCGTACCCGACGAGGTAACACCGGACCTTTCGCATTTGGACCCTTCACCGGAGGATTATTCGCGGTTCATTTTTCAAGACAAATGCCGGGTGAAAATTCACGCTGGCTCTGGTGGACACGGCTGTGTTGCCTACCTGCGCGAGAAATATGTTGAAGAGGGACCACCGAACGGCGGCGATGGCGGCAGCGGAGGCGGTATCTACATCCAGACCGTTGAGGGTTTGACAAGTCTCCATAAGCTGGCTCGCAGAGGCATTATTAGAGCTAGCAGGGGCCGGAATGGACAGGGTAAAAGCAAGGGTGGAAAGCGAGGCGAAGACGTCCTCCTTCAGGTACCTGTTGGCACTGTGGTGCGGGAGGTGAGCCGTTATGATCCGGTCGAGGTGGAGTGGGAGCGCATCAAGGCGGAGGAAGAAGCGGCCTATATGGCCAAAGAGGAGAAGAAGATTTGGCGGGATCCTGATGAACTTGAAGGTGAAGAAGGTGAAGGTGAAGGATTTGAAGATGATGAGCCGGAGTTCAACCCTATCCGACACGAACGCTGGGTGCTACACCCTGCCGCAAAACCGTCGGATTTCCTTATGGTGCAGTTCCCAAAATCATACCCGCGACGACAGAATATAGCAGCCATGCAACCCAAGGCGCCGATTTGGCTGGACCTTTCAAAACCTATGGATAAACCCATGCTTCTGGCTGCTGGCGGTATTGGCGGGTTGGGAAATCCACATTTCTCCACACGCGTAATGGGTCGACCGAAATTCGCAAGCCGAGGCGAAGGTGGAATGATGTTAGAGCTCGACTTTGAGCTTAAGCTCCTTGCAGATGTCGGATTGGTTGGGAAACCCAATGCCGGCAAGAGTACGCTTCTCCGCTCGTTAACTAACAGCCGAACCCGCATTGGAAACTGGGAATTCACTACACTGTCTCCTAGTATTGGCACTGTCATCACCGACGACATGAAGGGTCGTCCTCTTGTTGAATCGAAGGTCCGTCGTACACACTTCACAATTGCGGACATTCCGGGTCTGGTGGAAGGCGCCCATCTCGACCGAGGTCTTGGTCTCGGGTTCCTTCGACACATCGACCGAGCTGGGATTCTGGCCTTCGTGGTTGATCTCAGTTTGGGCGACCCAGTACAGGAACTCCAAAAACTGTGGCGCGAGCTCGGAGAGTATGAGCGAATGCGCGACGCTGAGCCTGATTCTACCGAGCAAGACGACATCATTGAATGGAATCCATTCACCGAAGATGTGGAGGGTCATCGGCGACAGGCACTCGACCGAGACCCTGGCCCGGTATTGAATACCAACCCTGATGGCTCGTTGCCTCCGCTGGCGATGACACCTCTTCATTTAAAACCTTGGTTTGTCGTAGCATCCAAGGCAGACTTGGAAAACACACATGAACAATTCCGAGCTTTACAGGAGTACTTGTCTGGTGTCCAGAATGGCTCGCTTGAGCACCCATCGGGTCATGAAAGAGGTTGGAAGGAGAAAGTGTGTGCTGTTCCAGTCAGTGCCAAAAGAGGCGAAGGTGTGTCTCGAATTCCCAAGCTGGTGATGGAGCTTCTTGAATGAAGCATGTATATTAGAAAACTCCATTGTTCCTGAACAAAATGTACTATATAATAAACATCAATATACCTTCAATATTCCCCTGCAATCTATAAACCCCTATTCTTGGCTTTACTTTTGCTCTAACTTTGTACCCAAGCTCTCACATATTAGATGTAATGGGACATAAAAAATCAGACATGTGTTTTTTTTTACCCCCCTGTCTCTATTTGAGCGCGGTTTTTTTTTTTTTTTGGTTCGGGACGCGGTTGGAAGAATCAATCTCGCCATGACTTGGGACACTTGGGATTAGTTTGGCGATAGCCTCTAGCATCACCTTTCTTTCTCTTTCTTTTACTTTTCTTTCTTACTTTACTTTCATATCTGCCCTCAGTCATGGCGCTTTCATCAATCCTCAATGACGCGTTGTCCGTTATCGCCGAGCCGAGCTCTGACGACCCCATCCTCCAATGTGACATTCCTCACCTCCAAGATCTTCTTTTCAATGACACGGAGAAAGCACTTGAGCTTGCGAACTCAAAACTACACTCCTTTCCATTTAAAGATGTGCACATTTGCTGGCATCGACTCTACACAGACGCGTCTATCGTCAAGGCCTGCGTCACCATCATCACGAAATGCGGCCTGATCTCCAAAGCCAGATTTGAAACCCAGCACCTAGTTGTCTCACAACTGATTCAAGATATAAAAAATGCAGCAACTCAGCCGAAGGTCTCTCCAAACGCGCCATGGCTACCAGGCGTTGTGGCAATCCTTGATAATGTCTTGATCATGTCCGGAGCCCCCCTCCGCGAGAAGGTCGTCGAATCCTTGTTGTCCACGCTGCAGGCAGCTACAGAACCTCCCAAATTCGAATACGACAGCACTAGTAGCCCAGAATACCCCACTGCGAAGCGCAGAAAGTTCTCACCTCCTCTCTTTCCTCCAAATGCGATCCGTAAACCTGATCTGGAACACCCGATCCCGCGTTTATCGGCGCCATCATTTGATTCCATCGAACACCACATTCAAAGCATTCGTACCCCGCTTGTGATAACAGATGCAATGGACCACTGGCCAGCTATTTCGACGCGTCCATGGTCTTCGCGGAACTACTGGTGGGACCGCACGTTTGGGGGTCGCAGATTGGTCCCCATTGAGGTGGGAAGGTCGTACACGGACGAAGACTGGGGACAGAAAATTATGCCGTTCAAAGATTTTGTCGACAAGTATATATGGCAAGGCAAACTAGCCCCAGCTGGGGCGCCAGAAAACCAACCCCAGGTCACCAACCTCGATGGAGAGACAGCATACATGGCCCAACACGACCTACTAACTCAAATACCCGCCTTGCGTAACGACATCAGCGTACCGGACTATTGCTATATTACTCCGCCGGGTCCAGATCCGGGAACACCAGTGTATGAGAAAAAAAGCGAGAGCGCGAGGCGAAAGCCCAAGCACAGGTCCCTGAAACTTCGCATGGTCCTCAGTCAGACACAGCTCCAAATGAACATGACATAGCCGAACATGATTCAGATTCAGGCTCGGTTCTGGGCATCCCCAGCGATCCCATTATCAACACCTGGATTGGACCCGCGTGGACAATCTCCCCTCTCCACCACGACCCCCATCACAATATCCTCGCGCAGGTCGTGGGCACCAAGTACATCCGGCTGTACTCGCCACATACTCCAGACTCTCGGATCCACCCGCGGGGACAAGAATGGGTCACGTCTGTTGATGAGACGGCAGACCCAGATCCTGTGTCTGGAGATCGGCCAACGACTCGCAGACTGGTTGACATGTCCAACACTTCCAAGGTGGATCTGGCTGCCATCGAGTCTTCACCTGCTGAATATGAGCAATGGGAAGAGATGTGGCCTGGGTTTATGGACGCCGATTATGTGGAGACCGTGCTCCATGAAGGCGAGTGTCTCTACATTCCTGTTGGTTGGTGGCACTATGTGCGTGGATTGAGAGCTGGGATCAGCGTGAACTTCTGGTGGAATTGAGACAATGGCTCTATGAAAAATTCATGATGGTATGATGTCTCCGAATGAGATAGATGGGCTGTTACCTTGGCAATGCCATTAGAACCGGACACAATCAAACTGTACGGTATTCTACATATTTACAATAGCTCAATTATGATGTCTACCCAAGAGTAGTTGGCCGTGTATGCGACCTCTATCCTTGGCGATGATTTACCTGGCTCAAGATGATATAAGAGGCGTTATATGTAAAATAACATTCCAATGTCTTTTTGGATATCTTTTTCTAGATATTTATTTTTCTTCTCGGTGTTATAGCTAGGAGAATGATCATTCTGCAGGAGGACCTACTGGGCTTATCACTCTACGGTAATATACCAACTTTTCTATGTACAACTATGTAGGGATACATAAAGAACCGAGGTAGGAATCCCCATCTTTAATGGATAAATCTAACTCCACCCTTCCACCAACTCGCAAAGCGTCTCCTCTCCACCCACATTACCAGGGAATACAACAAAAGGCACACGACGATGGCGGCTAGTCTCTTCATCGCATCGCCAAAGAGGGACACCAGGTGCTGCCTGGCCCACGATAGTAGCACGCTTTATATTCAAGCCCTTAGTTGCAGCATCTGAAGATGTAATCCCACCCTAAGAGGAAAGTCAGCACCAACATACCAACCCATCCACAGACAAAAGAGACCAGATATCATACCTTGGCAATAATAAACCGCGGCTGCACCTCAATCCGCTGCAAGACACCAACCAGCGCCTCAGCAACCACAGACCCAATCCTCAGCGACGACAACTCATCGCCACCAGTCACAAGCGCCCGACTAGTCATAACGAGCGTATCCATTCCAGCCCGCAGATGAGATTCTGTCTCCTGCACAACGCGTAGCACAGCCTGCATCGCAGTCTCCGGCGACGCAATAAGTTCCTCGACCTTCATTTCAATGATCGCTAACTGACCCGATGCGCCACGCCGATCCGTCAACACTTTTAGCTGCGCTGTAGTCTTGGGAACATACGACCCGGCAATAATAAGCCCTCCTGTCTGGCGCGGGAAAGGCAAGTGAAGCTCAGCAGCGGAGATAGGTGCTTTGGAACGGATGCCGAGTCTAGTTGAGACGAAGGCCGCGCCTGTGCGGTACAGGAAGTGTTTGCCCTTCGATTCAGCTGGGTGTGTTAGCACAATCAGAGTTACGTACTGAGAGAACAGAAATCTGGTATACCAAGTAGTAATCCCGCTACGAAGACGTGCATGTCAGATTCCGCGGCCGCATTGACAATCACCACTCCACCAACCGGTGCAGCAAGCAGTTTCTTGCAGACGGCCTGGGGTCCGCCGGTGCGAATCTCCTCGATTGTCACAGAGCATAATTGGTCTTTGTTGAATCGAGGCGCCTTTTCGAGCACGTAATCCCGTAGATTGGAACTTTTATATCCGAACGTTGCGTCTTTGGCGAACTGTGTCGCGCCCGCTGGGACGAGGCTGTCGCCTTCGGTGACGTAGTGCACATCGTTGATGGTAAGTCTCCCACCCTGAAAGAAGAACGGGGCGAGAATAAGTGCGTCTGCGGGGCCAAAGACTGATTGCACGACGTCCGGTTCGAGGGGAAAGTGGCCGCGTAATGTGCTATCGCCGCGAAGGACGATGTCGACCTCCTGGTTTGTTGCTTTCGCGGCTTCGGCGATGTTTATGCAGATCTCGCGGATGAGGGTTTCTGCTTCTTTTGGTGGGAGGGCACGTGAGTTTGTGAGGATGAAGAAGCCTGGCTTCGTGGATTGGAATTCGTCTGTTAGTGTGGGGATGTCCCAGACCGTTAGGACTGAGATGTCGTGGCAGGTCTGGGTGCCAGTTGGGTCGTCATCTAACACTATTAGCCGATTGACTTGGGCTGTTGTGAGGATTTGGGTGATTTGTTCTTGCGCGTCGGTGGGATACTCTGCGGGGAGATTGTCGAGGGTGCACTCGCGGGGGAGAATAGGGTACTCGGGCTGCGACATGTTGAGGAATTGGGCTGTTTTCCCCCTATGCTTGTGCTATTTGTGAGTTGGGTCTGGGTTGGTTTTATCTAAAGCAGATGAAGTCCTGAAGATGAACAAGCCGGGGGGGGAGGGTTATGCGGGGAAATCTTGGAGAGATCTCGGAGACAAGGCCGAAGATGCATAAATTCGGGACAACTATGGACTAGATAGAATCAGACATGTTTTCCTCACAGGAATAAGAAACACCATAAACGCCATTGGAGAAAGATGCAAGAATGAAGGGCGTTTGAATGCTTGCAAGCGTAGAAAGCCATGCAACGGTCATTATGCATGTAGCCGATTTCAGAGTCCAGTATCCCCTCCCATATATCCCTCCTATCCCATGCAGAAAGTAAACAAAGATGACAGGTCGTAGACTGCGTGATTGTTCGTAGAGGATTCAGCCCACCACACTACGGAAACTCAATGCTTCGAGGAAGCCGCCAAGGTCATCCTTCTGGACCTCCACAACACAATGCTCGAAGCTGTCGATGCGTACACGGGCATTTGTCTCTTGGACTACCTCCTGGAAGGCAATACCAAACCGGTTGCGGAGAAGATGCTTCTTTCCACGCGGATCTTCCTCGTCTTCGGACTCCGATTCCGATGACGAGTCAGACTCTTCCGAATCTTCGTCTTCAGCGCCGGTATCATCCTCTCGCTCCGCACGCTCTGCCGCTCGTTTGGACCGGCGCTCCGATCGCTCTTTCTGTTTCTTCTCCTTGTTTTCCTTCTTCTGCTTGCGCTCCTCCTGGCGCTTGGACATGGCAGCGAAGTCGACAACACCGCCGCCGCCACCAGTGCCGACGACTACATAGAGATCGCGATCTTCATCGAGGCCAGCAAGGACGAGAGGAGTTCCTGCTGCTCTCTTACGACCGATCTTGACCGAGTCACCCCGCTCTTTCTCTTGGACTCGAATGGCCTCAGCGATCCACAGGGCTAATTTCGTCAAGGCTCCGGGGTTTGTGAAGAGTTTGACGTCGGGTCCATCCTTGACCACAGCAATGCGGAATGCTCGAAGGTGACGAATTTGATGCTTAGAGAGCAACGAGGTACCGGTGCGAAGGATGGCACGGTGTAAATGCTGGGCCAGTGGCAGAGACTCTAGGAGAATCGTAGGTGATTCGGACGTTAACGAAAGGGCGTCATACGCACTCCAGAACCGAGGTAGTAAACTAGCCAGGTCAGATTCGCCTGAGACTCCACTGTTTTCTGTATCATCGCGTACTCGCGGCATACGCTTGGCGTCCCAAGAAGCCAAAGTCTCATGTGGTCCAACTTCCAGCATTGCACCCACAATAACACCCACGTCTGTGGCAGAGAGGCACGCCTTCCAGCCCCAGCAACGCACAAATCCCCAGCCCTCACGAGCACTTGCACTCCCAGCTCCCTCTGATGGAACGAGGCCATCTAAGCCGTACATAGGGGCGTACTTGAGTAGTCGTGATCGTAGTACTCGCTTCAATTCCATGTCCATGTGGGTATAGTATTGATGACACTGGGTCAGACTAATTCCCATCTTGGCCAGAAGTTTGTGCAGTCGTTTGCGGCCATTCTCAGTCCAGACATGCAGCCTCGGCGCAAGGTAGGGGCTGTGGAGCATGCTCTCATATAGTGACCAGTGCCGGACAAGAAGAAATCGCGGTTCAGGAGAAAGACGAATCGATGTATCGGTGGGTGATCTGGCGGTTGTTGGAATGACACCGTTGATTTCTCCTCGGATGTCACGATTTGATTCTAGAGGATCAGGCGGGTTCAGACGATGCACTTCATCCCGAAGTATTTGGCGAATGTGTTCACCACGTTGACCACCCCAGCCTGCCGAACCTCCTGATTCTGATGTATTTGAGATACCCACTCCGGTCATTGTCCGACCACTGAGCTCTAGACTGGAGACTCCGACAATAGCAAGCCACAGCAGATCATTGTCGTCTCGTCCGAGCTCAGATGCCAGAGAGTAGATCAGCGACGAGATTGGTTCGGAGTATGATGTTCCAGACGAATAGTATGACTGTAGAACTGAGTCGTGTCTTCGCTTGAGATTAATTAAACGTTTCTTTAATGACCGCACTGAGGGTTGTTTCGCCTCCGCTGGGGATGGCGAATCAGTTGTCGGTGTTACAGATCGCGAGGAGTTCGAAGAATTGATTCCAGTCTGTTTGCGGCGAGTCGGAGACGATGTAATAAATGAACCCTATAACACGCGTTAGTCCATTGTTGGGTCATAGGAATTTCAAACCCTACTGAATTACTTCTCCTCCGTTGGTGGGGTGGCTCATCATCTTCTGAATCCTCGTCGTCTTCACGACCTGACCAGGATTTGCGCTTTTTCGACCCCGTTTGCGTTTCATCTTCAGATCCGTCGCTCGCGTCATCATCGTCATCATCTACCTCTGGCATCTCTAATAACGCGTAGTATGCCTCTCGTTCATTGTGAAGCTCTTCCTCAATGTCTCCGTCGTCGTACACGATGATTCCGCCATTCTTCGACGTGTAAGCGGAAGTGATGCACCCCTTGTCAACCCCGCGTCCCTGCCGTCGCGCATTCGCATTTATTTCAGACATGGGCTGGCCCATCCCAGGTAGTCCACCAAAGACGTTCCCCAGGTTCCACGGCCGCCGCGCGTCGAATACCCAGATCTCTACGCCTCCCATATCTTCCACCTCGTCCTCAGGGTTGCTCAATGCCAGTATCTCACTCAAATCAACCAGACCCCCTACACCGAGACAGACGACAACTCCTCCGCTGCCGCCATTGGTGGTCTGCATTGGGCGGACCAGCTCCTCCCCCGCACGCGACAGGTCGCCATATCCTGCAACTGGTTGGATTTTATGAGGGATATAGTCGCGTTTCAACAAAGCTGTGAGGATTCGACAGGCACATAGCGCGTCTGGCTCTAATGCCACGAGAATCAAGACGGGTGGAGAAAGTGGGTGGTGAGATCGGAGGAGTTGTAGGTAGAGGTGTGAGATGAGCTGCCGAGG